TCCGATTCATGGACTCTTTCTCTTATTGCATCAAACATCTGTTGGTAAAATTGATATTTTTGGTATATGTTGATGAATAGAGAATGCGATTAGGTTTTCGATACGCTTTTATGAATCTACAAAGCCAAATTAATAATAGAAAAACATACTAGCAATAACAGACCTCAGGGAAATGTCTACCATACATCTATAGCATTGAGATTATTTTTGTGAAATTTTTTTACAGTTTATTCGGAAAGGAGGTCGCGAGGCCATTTCCTCTTAAGACGCCTTATGGGGTTGTAGGGATGGGTTCTATCGGACAGGGCTTGGGCAAGACTATTTGAATGGTGGGAGAGTTTTTTGTGAACTAACGTAAATACTTCTCAATGTTCCACAGAGTTCCCTAGCACGATGACTAGCTCTTTTAATAGCTATGATTTGGACGAAATAACTCTGTTTTTCACCTAAAATCATGCGTAAGTTTTTGGGGGTACTACGAAAAGTCTTACACACTTGTAATTTTTATCAAACCTCCCCACCTGCAGCTTTCGTTTGTGATTAGAAATTACATACTGACCATATCGTAAAGCATACCTAGTCAATTCTTCTAACTTAAATACTCTTAACATTATGTTACCAAAAATGGATGAAAATTCGTTGTACTAAAAATTGTATTTTTAGTAGATTGATGTACAATGAAAGGAATATGTGTATCAGTACGATTATATGCGTTTACAAATTAACCAAATAGCCAAAATACCAAAGTAAAAACATGGTGGTACAAAGTGTAGTTGGGAAATGATTACCACGATTTTCTGCTGCAGCAGTGAGATTACTTTCGTGAAGTAAATACTTTCCACTGTCCATAAGGGTTTTCCTTCGCGAATTATTATTAGTATTATTGGTTTTTAATAAATGATGTATTTGTATCATGTAAATGTAGACGATCATAACCAGTCATGCGTCTTGAAGCTAAGGATTAAGAAAGTGTATAAAACCTGGGACAGATTAGTTCGTAGACAAAAGAAAAGTTGAGGTCGCTATGGAAGGTGTGGTTTGTGGCGTAGTAAGGAATTTTGACAATTTGTCTGAGGACTTCTGAATGCACAGTTTGAATGTGTTGGGTATTAGATAGCTTGGCGAAACCCTAAAGCTCCAATTCGTGTCCAAAGTGATCGCAGGAATGTACTTTATAGTTTGTGTTTTAAAACAGATTTCGATCCTTCGTATCATAAGTCTTGTGTGCGGATTCCACGTCAAGCTGCTGTCTAGGTTCAGGCCTAAGTATCTGTCAAGAGTGAAAGTCGGTAGATCTTTGCTGATGTAAGTGAAGGGTTCGGGTTAGAACAATTGCGGTGGTTTCATTCGCATAGGTGGTAATGATGGCTTTATGATAGTAACATCAGCAGAATAAGTTGCATACAGGATGAGACCAAGAATACATCCTTGTGGAACGTCGGGTTGTATTGGTCTGATATTCCTTGAGGCACCCCACTATGAAGCAACGCTCAGCTTATTTAGACAGAATATGGAAATAAGGAGTGTATAGCAATAGGTTAGTTTGTAGAGGTTGTTTGGGCGCTATATCCTATCAAAGAGCCTAGGTCACATCCAGGAACGCACACAAGCAATATTCTTTATCCTCTTGAGTTTTAATAATATTTCTTTGATTATACGTCGATGGTTCATAAAATGTGTACTATGAGAGAATTTCCATGTTGATGGATGGAGTCGATGTTTATTCAAAATTTTTCTTTCAAAGAATTTCCATGAAATGAAGCTAATAAAAGGAAGTATGAATTGAACACAATAAATAATAAAATATATTTATTACTGTATCAATAGAAAATAATATAAACGTCTTAAGTTTGTTAAATAAAAAATAAATACATTTTCACATTTCCCGAAAATGCTCCATCTTTTATTTCCTCGATACATGACAAACCCCGGGAAGAATTGCCCATTCGCAACTCTTATAAAATAAAAGTTATTTTCTAATGTTAAACCGTGCATAAAATTTTGCACAGTTCAGATAAAGTCGAACAGGGTACCTTTAGGCTTGTAACCAGCTGATCTCACCTAGGAGATATCATTAATATTCAACCCCCTTCGATACAAAAGCCTATAATCGCAGGTGTCAATGAGGTGCAAATAATAAACAGGATTACACGCGATGCTAATGATTATGTGTGTCAGTTAATATCAAAACATTATTTTTCATCGGATTATCAAATAATTTATAATTCATTTCTCATTATAACCGTAAATTTTTAATTTAAATGAAATGCAGGAAAATCAGGAAAATTGTAAGAGACGTTGAAGAGGTGGTTTTTTCGTGACAAGTTCCCTGCCGTGAGCAAATGATTAGAATCGATTATTACTTATTCCCGTTTTATTAGAGTGAGTAAAGGTAGATATGACCATGGGCACCCATTCACAACAGCTGTCAGATTTCTTCCTACCGCCAGCAAGGGTCAGGCAATTGAATATTCGCCTGAATAATTCGGCATATAAGAGGAAAGACGAGTTTTGTACTTCGCTTAATATAGCTTGATTGCATTGAGTTTCACCTCGACTTACTTTGAAAAACCGTGTTCGAATTTTTCACCCTTATGGGAAAATTCCGAGATCGCTCCGTTTTTTACGAGCTATGCCAGAAGAATATTTTTCAATCCAGAAGCCATAAAACTGACTACAGTTAAAATGTCCATTTACAATCACAGTTGTCGAACGAGTATCTTTAACAATTAAAAAAGTTAACAATAAATATTAAAATTTTAATTTTAAAAAACGATTAGGGTAGGGAAAAAATTGCTAGAATGAATGTTGTCTTCTTGGAAACCACTTTATCAGGACTAATAAAATTTGAACTGATTTGGAGAGGAGGACAACTATATGTATATAATTAAATATTTAACTGGGTACATGATCCCAAAACACTGTTTACATCATATAGTCTTAATATTGCACAAAGAAGAAGAAGAATTCAGGAAGAAATCAAATATAATGATATGGGATATAGATGACTCCAAAACAAATAAAAGAACCGTATCAGGCGTTTTTTTACAAGCCAAAATATGATCAATCAGACTCATGAGGGAAGTACACATCGGTCTTTCAAGAAGAAATAAATGTCATCCACTTTGTACCTTAGAAAATCTCAAAATAGGTTACATCGGTAAAAACATCCTCATAGGATTGAATAGCCAAGCAGGTATGAAGCATAAACATGTAAAAAAATCACATCAAAATTAGTTAGTGAACGTATCCAAAATCTCCGACACCTGGGGAAACACGACAAACCTGATTATATTGCCAGGGCACAAAGGAGTTTTGGGGAATAAAAATGCAAACATACTGGCGAGAGAATGATCTATAAAACTAATTATTATCACAAAGTGTATACTTGTGATAACGATAGTTGCCCGACACAGTAAAACAGTAACTTAGGTTAAGTTACAAAGAAGAAGAAATTGCTAGTTTTATTATTTTTGAATTCTAAACAGGTCTTTACTGACATAACCTAGGGCCAAGGGCGACAAAGAAGACTCGGGAGAAAGAATTGCTTTGATCTATTACTTCTTCAGAGAAAAATCTTGTCTATGTTATGTATATTTCTTTTTTCGATGAGTGTTGACTAACTTCGTATGTTTACTAATAACATTAAACAACAATAGTTATAATTGAGGCGCCGGTGTCCTCAACGGTACGCATCACTGTAAGGTGAAGGTCTCCGGTTCGAATCCAGCGGCCTTGCATTCGAACCCGACATATTTACAAATGGGCTGTTTTCAAAAACACCGACACCCTGAGGGTTTGTACGATCTCTGCTGTTGCGAACTCTTGTTAAAAAAAGGAAAGAAAAAAGTTAGAATTTTAAATTAAGAGACGTTTAGGAAAGAGGCCAAATAGCAAAAAAATTTAATTTAATTTATTAGTCGAGCTTTTAAGGAATACCACCCTTTCTTAAGGAAAATAAGAAAATATAATTACCGTTTTCAAAAGGTCAATAGATTTTAACAATAAACAAACTTTTAAAGCGTACGATTTCGAGGTACAATAAATGTAATTATACCAAAACATTCTTAACAAAAATATAACCAGACCTAAAGTAGAAGTAAGTAAAGGTAGAGTAGCGGCGTATCAAGCCGAAGGTCGTGGGTTCGAATCCCGCTCGTGACACTGACTTTTTTATCTCAATAAAAACCTTAATTAATTGAATGATAGGAATTGGTCAAGCGGACCACGAAAACTAGTGAATCTAAAGTAGAAGGCCGAAGTATAGCGTATATCAAGGTTTAAATATGAAATGAAACTAACTAGCTCTTGAAAATGAATGAATAATGATAATTAACTGAATATCCAACTGAATCAGGATTTTTAAATTTATGCTTTAGGAAATAAATTAGAAGTTCAAGTCGTCGTCTAAGTTGCTTTTAAATGTAAGACAATTTCCTTTGTAATGCCAACTCACCCCTAGATAATAATGGGCGAAGTTCGTCACTTTGATCAAGAATTTTTCTGTTTCCTTAGCATAAGTAGCTTATTTAAGATTAAAGGAGTCTTCCCACGGTTCAACGTAGTTACTAGAGATTACAAGTTACGTTGTCAAGTCGCTGTAAAGTGAGCTTATCATCCTCGACCTAAATTGGACTAGACGTATATTAATATCCAAGTAAAAAGAGCCAATGCCAAGGAAGAGATGAAATATGTACGATCCTGCGTTTCTATTCAACCTTTATAATAAAAATAAATAGTAAACTAATAATGAACTTTAAAATTTATTGTTAATGGCGTATTTGTGTTTGGATTTTTTATAACGAAACTGCATAATAATGTTGCACTTACTATTTATCAAATAAGCTTCATTAAATTGTTATTTTTTAACCAGATTGTGTTGACAGTAAAAGTGACAAGTGTTGGTTTTTTAGTAGAAGGTAAATTACATTATGAGCAAGGAGAGAGAAAAAAAAATTAACCTGCTACAATAATTAAACGAGATTTTTATAAATACGTACACATGACTTTTAGTATGACGGGATTACTCGTTCCTTTGCCTTCAGTGTTAGCGGCCAGACATGTGAATTCGCCTGCTCTCGCCTTTGTAACGCCTTGTATGACCAAGCTATGGTCACTGAAGATGACACCTCCGCTCACGTTGTGGTGAATTTCTTCTCCCTGTTAACATAATATTATGAAACCTAATATAAATTTATATATAAAAAAGAATTACAGAGAATTATATTAAATTGCATTGGTATAATGATATTTAACCGACTAGCAGACTCCAGAAAAATAGTACTAGAATCAATGTCAATTTATACTGCGCCAACTACGCCGTAGAAATATGCCTTAAAGAATTGGTTGCTTTCCCAGGTTATATCTTGCTATTGCTAGCTTTATTAGCTTTACTCATGCAACGCTAACGTCGATGGTGTTTTTACTTGATCTCCCTCCAACGGTTTTAATGTACTGGTAATAATAGAGATTTTATTTTACTTAAATACCTGAAAGGGAACATCTCAGTTAATATTCGATCTATATTAAATGTATATTGTTTGAACGTTAATACAATTTTTGAATACAAAAAGAAAAGGTAATCATTGAAATTAATATGTTCGCCTATTGACAAATTTGTGAGATTTATGATGAGGGTGGAAATGAACCGATTTAGTCGTACCCGATCTTTCTGTTCTGCTACCAGACTTTTATGTACATTTTAACAATCAGTGATACAATTCACAAAATGTAAGCGATTTGAAATACTAAAAGTATTTATAACAATTTGACTTTGGGAGCTGAAGTAACCGACTCTCTATCATATCGCCAGCCTCCCTTTCTCAGGGCATCGTCAGTTAAGAATAAAAATATAGATACAATGAACACAAGTTTAGCAGATTTATATAAAAAACTTTAACGATTTAAAGACAAATTAGACTGGTTAGCATTTATACTGTCCCGGAGAACCGGATAGTCCTTAGGGTAATTTGGGAAGAAACACCTCCATTCACGCTAATAAATTAGATTTACAAACCATACACTATTCGCACTGCCACATACTACTCGATAAATAATCCGTCGTCTCTACTTTTACACTAATAAATTATATTCGCTCAGTACGTTGTTAAACAAACAACAGATTCTCATTCACATAAATACAGATATACAACACACGGTCTTACCACTCTGTTGTCGCAGATAAATACATTAGTTCCAAAAAACAACATGTAAATACATTTTTTTAAATTCAATTTATTTAAATAAATAAATGTGTCTAAATAAATAAAAAGATCTATCAACTACATTTTTGGAAATAGGTTGTCAGGCATATGATCATACAGGCTGTATGTAATTATTTTTCTATTTGACATACTTTTGGCAATAATGATAATTTCTAACACTTCTTGTACAAAGTGTTTTCCGATTGTAAAATACGGTTAAACCAAGCGGATGTGACAGAAAGTATCAAGTTGGATTATTTTATTTGAATTGCAAGGTGGTTACGTATGAGATAAAACACAATAATAAAACGGCGTTGTTTAACAGTTCAATTAAGTGACTTCGAATATTGGAAATTATACTTACGTTGTGGAACCATGCTAATCTGTAGGTTTTTGGATTGGCTCTGATATTGCATTCAAAATATACGTCGTCTCCTTCCTTGATGTCGTCGGCGTTGAGATTGGAACCCATCTTTAACGTCACCAGCGGCATATCTGTAACAAAATGAGTGTATATTAGTTTATAAATAAATATTGCATACAAAAAGATACAGGTTTTTCTAACTATTGAGAAAGACAAATTTGAAAAATAAATGCACATGTGAACTAGTATGTAAAATCCTATCAAATCGACCGTTGCTTCAGTGTGAGGTGAAGCTGCGAGTTTTCAAAAGTCTAACAGATACAAGCCAACGTCCCACAAGGGAGCATACTTGGTCTCATCATTTATATCATTTATACTGCTGAACTACCTACTCACCCGAATTCCATCTTCACCACCTATGTGGACGATATGCAAATTTGTCGTCTAACTCTAATCCTATCCATGCTACCTCCAACATCCAAGAACACCTTGAGTTAAAAAATGGAGGACTAGACTTCATGAAAAAAATGTACTCAGGGTTCACATTGAAAAAACAGTGTTGTTCACTGTTCATCAGCAGCAAAGAAATACAGATTTCCATGCAAATCGAATACTTAGGACTATGCCTAGACAGCAGACTGACCTGGAATCCTCACATAAGTTTTAAAAGAAAACAACTTATAGAAGATTTGGACAACTACGAAAACTTCTAAGGCCGAACCTTATCTTGATCGTCAAAACTAAACTCACCTTACACAAGACTTTACTGCGACCCCTTTGGACATACTAACCAGTTGCATGTTGATTCTTCCAAGCCATCCAATATCCATCTCATCCAACCCTTATAATCAAAAGTTCTCAGACAAATTGTCAAAGCTCCTTATTACCTCACTAACCTCACTATCCACAACGACGTCAAAATTCCTTTTGTCAACGAACTGATCTGATCCCGATTTCAAAAGTTTCACACCATCTTCTCGATCCTTCCTAACCTTCTTCTTGAGCCCTTTCTACACAATCCCGTCCTTAGAACCCGTATGTCGCCTTAATTGGTGATGGCCTCAAAAAGTTTTGTGATTGTAATATGCACTATTATGTACAGAGTACGAATAAAATACTTTTTAAAAAATGTACAATTAGATATTCGGCCTATAAAGAGCTAAAGACAACACACTGCTCTGCAGGTTAAAGTCATTATTTTGTTTATTATCGCACCTGTGCGCAATTTAATAATATAATGTTCAACCATAATTCCAACCAATTCAACCACAAAATAAGTTTCTAGTCAGGAAGACCTTCTTCGTTCACTTCTGCTTCTTACTTTAGAGAAATTAAAAGTAGGGAACACTCTCTATTTATATACTCCCTATTTAATTATACCTTAAAATATTTTAGAGTAGTATTAAGAGAAACTAAGCTATATGTTTTTAACAGGTCCCCGTCTTCTCAGAATTGAGATAAAAGGTTAAAATAACTCACCTTCTGTATTCAAAATATATTCGTTACGCATGCTTTTAATATATGTAATTGCGATATAAGTTCCGACAACGTGATGAATGGTAAAGCGGCTAAGTTTGTAACTTAACGACTTCATTAAGGACTTTCATTGGCAGAAGTTGCCATCTGGATAAACATAGCTCGCTAAGTAATTGCCGCTTTTAAATGTCAAAAGTATATCAATAAATTACTTGTAAAGGTTTTTCCTCTAACAGCATGAGGAAAGGTTAGGTCAAAGTTAGTCCCATTCTTAATATGACCCGCATGAACCACTGTTATATCACAGGCCACATGCGACTTCACAAAACCTTTTCCTTTCCCGTTTGTTTCGAATCTAGCCATAACCTTTAAATAAAGCGGATATCGTATGATGGTAAGTTTTTCAGCATGTTGTCTGCCACCATGGAAAAGAGATAAACTTCAGTTCAGCCCAAATAAAAACGCTTTTCTCTAACTTTACACCGCCTTTTGGGAAGACTAGGTCGCACAATTACACAGAAGACAAACACATTGAGTGAGTAGAAATCCTTTGATTGAATATAAAAAATATATTTTGCATTGTATAAATTCACTTTTCCACATCCTAAATGTAATTGTAATATGTAAACAATGTTTGTAAATCCCAGGCCCTGAAGATGATCTCAATAATGATCGAAACTTTCGCACGATAAAGAAAATGTTTTTCTGAAACCTACATCACACCAGACCGCATCTCACGATTTCTGAATAATTATCGATTAACGGTCACTAATCACCACACATTTCTATACGATAAAAAATATTCTTGAAATTCATGTAGAACAATGACAGAAAAACATATTTAAAAAATTACTTAAAATATATTTTTTGGCACCTAGGACCTATTGACAAGAACACTCGGACACGTATCTAATAATTGTCGACCTAGTCTTCCCAAAAGGCGGTGTAAAGTTAGAGAAAAGCGTTTTTATTTGGGCTGAACTAAAGTTTATCTCTTTTCCATGGTGGCAGACAACATGCTGAAAAACTTAACATCATACGATATCCGCTTTATTTAAAGGTTATGGCTAGATTATCCTTTAAGGATTATATAGAAAGGGATAATTAGGAAAAGGAAAGCTAAATTGTTGGACAATTAGACTATGTGAAAAATATTTGATGTATGGAATGTAATGTAATGATATATGTATGTTATCTATATTGAATTTGATTAAGATATTGGCGTAGCTGCGACTGCGTTTACATGTATCTGTAACAGTCTGTACATGTATCTGATGCTGTGTTTATCTCTGTTGATTAAACCATTTCTAAGAAATTACGTTTATGTTTGTTTTGTTCTGTATGTAATATTTTTGGATTTTTAAAGTCGAAATTGTGTTGGTGTTCAAAATGGTGGGTCGCGAGTGCTGCATGATTTTGCTTGGGATTTTTGCAATCATTGATATTGCTTTACTCTCTTGTCCAGATATTGGGATGTAAGACCAATGTAAGTTGCCGAACAGGTTAAACAGTTGATCTTGTAGATTACGTCGGATTTATTTGTTACTGGTGTGGGATCTTTAATTTTGAAAAAAAGAGTGGATTGTTTTATAATTTTTGAAAGCTATTTTGTAGTTATCGGACGAGAGAAATGTGTTTAATTTATGTGATAAGCCTTGAATAAATGGCATGGAAATGTATGCTGGTTTGTTTGTATTTGATAGACTTAATGTAGTATTATTCGTAACAGTGGATGGTGTTAGTGTTGAGTTGTAGTTGTTGATTATTCTGTTAATAATGTGTTTAGGGTAAAGTTTTTAATGTTTTTATATCTTTATGTTCTTGTGGTGAAATGAATCATGGCTTAGGGTAATCATTCTGTGAAGTAACCCTTTAGCCGTGTTTATTATTGTATGAAGAGGATGGTGAGATGTAACGTGTGATGTCAAAAACCAAGAAACACCGATCGCTATCTCAACTTTACGTGTTAAATGTTTTTCTGAAACCTACATCACACCAGACCACATCTCACGATTTCTGAATAAATATTTTTTATCAAAAGATTCGTTTTTTTACACGGGTTATGACAATAATATGCAAGAATGTATTGAATGAGGTTCGATATTAGATGCTTCCAGTAAACAGGCCAAAATAACTGGTTTGTAAAAAAAAAAAAAAAATTAGGAATAGTTTTAAGCACCTTGTAAAATAATTAAATATGAATTTTCACGGCAATAAAAATGCAGACATTTTTGGCTAGATTCGCCGGGTTGGATTACTTGTTTCTCGATTATGACTGTCGTTCCACATAAAAATGCGTAACTCTACATTTTATGCTTTATACTAAATTATGCATGATCGTAGTAAATTAGATTAGGCATATAAAAGTTTATAAAAAAAGAAAAACTCTGTCAGGAAAGAGGGCTGATTTTTAAAAAAATCTTCCTCTAAAGTCAGTAAATATGGTTTTTATAGCCAACTGAAATCAACATTTTAGGACTTGATTAACCGGGGGCAATTTTTTGACCCTAGGTCTAGTGTTAATACAAATTCATAATTCCTCCGAATGTAATTCAATGTCCACTGAAATTACAACCGAAATATGTCAATAACGTTTGGATTTTATGCTTTTTAACCTCGGTATCTATTGCACCAGTAGTTACTTAATAAGGTCGAAAAATAATAGACACCTGTCCGCACCTTTTGCATGGGACAAAGGAGCTGAGAAAAAATATTTAAATAATTTACATACTTTTAAATAACATAGTTTTCTGCCTTTGTGTGCATGCACATCAGTTAATTTTAAAAAAAATTGAATTTGTTTTTATCATCCTTTTTAAGTTCTTAAAAAATATTTTTTATAATGAACAAAAATCAATATTTTTCTGTTTGATTAGTCGGGGACAATTTTTTTGATCCGATAGATAAGTTCCTTTAAAAAATACTTTTTTTTTTACGTGCATCCGACATCTAGGTCATTTCAGCCCCCAACTAAGTTCATATTCTATTTACCCTTTCAAACACTACATTCATAGAAATACCTTCATACACATAAATACATCCATACAGTACACTCATTCCGTTTGGTCGGTGGAGTACTTGATATTCCTTAACCGACCCTATACTCGAACTAATAATACATAATTCCTTTGGATTTTATGGAATGTCCATGGTAATAAACAGGTTAGAAAACCAAGTGGTTTTATTTTCAGCCTATGTCAACAATGTTTATATTTATGTCATTATAATTGAGAACAAAAAGGATAATATTGACAAAAACTTCAAAAAACTTTATATCTCCGATTGCAGCTGATTTACAGAGACCAACCTGAATTTTCACTAGTTCAAATCCTTTTAACTTTTGTACCTACTAGGCCGAAAAAAAGTAGACACTTGTCCGAGCCTTCTTCCTAATGGGTTCTAGCAGCCCAGGAAAATAAACATTTAAAATAATTTATATAATATTTTAAATTATCGTTTTCTCCCTATTTTGTGCATCAATTTTAGGATTAATAAGATTTAATTGATTTGTCCTTTTATGGAAAATGGTTTTGATTTGGATACAGTATACAAAATTTATAAAAAAGGAAATACGTGTAAGTAAGCCATTTTTTTTAATTAGGTTTCTTTAATCTTCTTTTGAGCCTTAATACGATTTTTTATGGCAAATAATAAT